CAAATTAAAAGTATTAGACTGGCTGGCTCAGTCAATAGAACATGCAATTCTTGATCTCAGGGTTGTGAGTTCGAGCCCCACACTGGGCACAGAGTTACTTAAAAAGAAGGGATTACTATTTACGGAAACACTTTTTGCTTAGATTGATCCACACGTTCACAAATTCTCTTCTTGCACTGGAATCATTTCCCTCTTCCTGAAGTACAACTTTTAGAAGTTCATTATTATAGTTATGCTTGTGATAAACTCAGTTTTTATTTATCTGAAAATATATTTCTTGTTACTCATTGTTTTTAAACCAGATTTTAAATTATGTATACATACAAGTTCTGTAAATATGCTTGTACAAATCTTTTTGTGGACAAATGTGGATACATCTCTTAGGTAAATACCTAGGAGTAGAATGGCTGGGTCATAGAGTAGGTATTTGTCTAAAATTGAAACTGCCAAAAGTTTTCCCAAAACAACTGTTCCACTTTACACTACTGGCAAGATATAAGAATTCCAGGCACTCTAAATTCTGGTGAACAATTACTGCTATCAACATTTTAATCTTGCCTGTTTTATTGGGTGTGTGGTAACATAATATTTTGGTTTAATTTACACCTCTCTGATGACTGAGCAACTTTTTACGTACTTATTGGTCATTCCAATCTTTTTTTGGTGAAATGTCAACTATTTTGTTCATTTGAATGTTTGCTTTGTTTTTAATTATTTACTTTTTGTTATTTATATATTCTGAATATAAATTCTATGTTAGATATATATTCTACAAATAATCTGTCCCAGTCTGTCGCTTGCCTGTTTACATTTTTTTTTTTTTTGCCTGTTCACATTCTTAATGGTATCATTTGGTGAGCAGGTGTTTCCCACTCTTGGAATCTAATTTATGAAGTATTTCTTTTATGATTAGTGCCTTTTGTGTCATCAGAAATATTTGATTCTCCCAATGTCATGAAGATATCCTCCCATTTTCTTTGAGGTCTGTAGTTGTAGTTTTTATATTTAGATCTATTATCCATCTAAAATATATTTTTATGTTTGGTGACAAATAAGGGTAGAGATTTACTTTTTCAGATAGTTATGCAATTGTTCCTGCAACATTTGTGAAAAGCCAATTCTTTTCCCCTTGAGTTGCCTTGGTAGATTTCTCAAAAATCAATTGACAACACATTTATGGCTCTATTTTTCACTTTGTTTGGTTCCATTGAGTCATATTTCTATCCTTGGACCAACAACACACTGTCTTGATCACAATAGTTTTCTGTAGGTCACAAAATCAGGTAGTATTAGCCTTCCATGTTCATTCATATTTTCCAAGATTGTGTCAGGTATTTGGATTCTCTTTGAAAATCCCATGAAAATATTACAATCAGCTGATCAACTTCTTTCTTTTTCTTTCTTTCTTTCTTTCTTTCTTTCTCTTTCTTTCTTTCTTTCTTTCTTTCTTTCTTTCTTTCTTTCTTTCTTTCTTTCTTTTAAAGGTGCCTGAGAATGCTGATCGGGACTACACCCAATATATAGTTAAATTTGGAGAAAATAAACATATAGAAACTTTAGTAATATCGGTGCTTCCAAATCATGAACATGGTATAAATCTCCATTTATTTAAATTCTCTCTGTTGATTTGGAGTTTTTAATGGTAACTAGCATATTTCATTATCTAACTACTTAATTCTAATATAATGGTACTATTTAATTTCATATTCTTAGGTTTTGCTACTACTATATGGAAGCTCCCACTGCCCTCTACCACCAACCCACTCCACTCTTTGGCTCCTCCTCCTCTTTAGTCCTACTTCCCTGTTCAATTTCTTCTCTCCTCTTTCATCAGTCATCTTCCCAGCCTTGTACCACCTCCCTTTCCCCCAGTCTTGTAGTCCCACTCCATGTCCAGTCCTCCAGCTTCTTCCTGTCCCAGGTTCTCTAGTCCTGCCCCTTCCAGTCCTCCAAATCCTCTCTTCTTTCAGGCCCTCTGCAAACACCCCTCTTTCTAGTCCCAAGCCCCACCTGCTTTCCTTACTCCCCCCGGTACCTTTACACCAGTCCAGTCCTCTCTGCAGTCCTTTTCCTCTTCCCTTGTCTCTACTCCTGCAACCTCTTTCATCTCCCCAGTCCTGGAACTTCTCTCTCCCCAGTCCTCTAGCTCTGGCCACTTTCCTCACTCTTCCAATGTCCTCCCTACCCTGTTCTCCCCAGGTCTGCAGTTCTGCTGCTCTCCAATCCACCTGCCTCCTGCTCCTCAGTTCTCCGTCTCTGCACATTTGTTTTTACTACTCCAGTCCTGCTGCAATTCTTGTACCTCCAGCCATGTTTCCCTCCCTGAGCAGGTTTCTGAGTGTGTTCAGAGTGGAGGGTGTGCCTCTCCTCCAACTTTCCTGTCTCCCTTTCTTCTTGCTGTCTGTATAAACCCCATGTCCCAGAGTTCCAGCCCTGCTCAATGTCCTTTGGCCTCACCCTCTTTTTTAAATTATGTTGCTCTTCTTCACGTCTCTGGTTTTTAATTTTTTTGCCTGCCCCTTGCTCCATCATTATCCTGCTCTGCTCTACCCTCTCTCCAGTATCCTTTCCCTGTCCCATCCCCATCTCCCAGCTCTCAGACAGGTCTTCATTCTTCTTATGGCTTTCTCCTCACAGGAGTTTTACTTTGAATTTTATTAGTGTTTGTGAGGTTGAACATGTTTCATGTTTAAAGGAGACTTTTACATCTTCTTGTTCACTTTTGCTCACTTTTCAGTATGCTTTGTCTATCTGTATGACATAATTGTGCTGAAATTTTTCAAGCTGAATTTACAGTTTGAATTGTTCTGCTATTATTTTTGCAGGAGTTGTATTGTTGTTTTTTCATAAATGCACAAATATATTGGCCTTTTCTCTCTTTGTCCCTGGATAAGTCATAGAATGTCTTACACCAAAGTTAAAGGTGGAATTACCTCCTGTTTTCTTCTGGAACATATCTGATTTGGGGTTTTTAACATTTATTTTGGTAATCCATTTGGAATTTATTCTTGTATATTATTTGTGATATTAACCTAATTTTAGCTTTTCACAAATTGCTACCCAACTGTCACAACACTATCTGTTAAAATGTCTATCTTTGGTTCAGGGGTTTGAGATGCTACCTCTGTGTACTTGTCTGTTTCTGGATATTCCACTTTATTCCACAGGTCTGTTTTCATGAAATAAAGAATACTGGACTTAGAAGTGAATTATTTGGGTTCTTTCTGCTCTATCCCAAGATTTGCTGTGGGACTGTAGGCACAGTCTGTTCTCTTTGTAGGCCTTAGTTTCATCATCTGTGACATTAGAGGTTCCATCCAGATTACTGGTATTTCTAGGAGTCTGTACTAATGAGTACTATCCAAGATTGCCTTATAGTGTTAGGAGCTGGAACTTGAATCATGGACTTCTAGCTTCTCAGGCCTGACCTCTTTCTTGACTTAGTTGGGGCAACTTTGGCTTCTTCATTCCCTAGTCTAGGGTCTTACTGCATGTAGGTTCATTTCTTTGGCCTTGAAAGGCTTTTCTTTGACCCTTTTCTGATTCTGCTGGTACCTACAATGACAAGGTCACTTCATGTATGTGTTCATAAGGAACAGACTGGAAGGAAGTTGGGCAGGACAAGATAATGAAAGTAAAATCATTTGGTTACCCTACTGTGTAGCAGGCACATGTTAGATTCTTTACATGTATGTCATTTAATCTTTACAACAGCCTTATTGGTATACCTTGTTATTCTCATTTTAAAATACTACTGAGGTAGTGTGCTCCCTTGCTACCCTATATGTAACTCTTAGAACATTTATTCTATTATCTTACAAATGGTCCGGTTTTTTAGAGGGGGGAGGGGCAGAGGGAGTGGGAGAGAGAGAATCTTAAGCTCACTGTGGGGCAGGAGGTGGGGCTTGATCTCACCACCCTGAGATCATGACCTAAGCCCAAAGTCTGAGGCTTAACCCACTGAGCCACTCAGGCACCCCACAAATAGCTCATTTTTAAGGTTCTTTAGTTGTATGTTAACTAGGGTGATGATAGTCCCTCCCGCCCTCTTGGGCTTGTGGGGATTAAACAGCTTAACTCGGTGACTGGCACAGACACCGTTAGATTTTAATAAATGTTAAGAACTGTCATTATTACACATGTATCCCCACTAAGTAAGGGACCTAACCTTTACCCTAACCCTCACAGTACTGTTCGTGTGAGTGGATGGAGCACCACTTCACGGCCAAGCACTCCAGTACAAGCGAAGGTGGGGAAAAACAGGGTTGATTGTTAGTTGTTAGAAGAGACCAAAGAGTAAGTACTTAGGTCCGTATAATGCACTTACTTTCAAGGCGTCCTGGTGGTGGACCATGCTGACCAAGTTCTTAGGATTTTGTGTGAATATGAAGTTTTGAGGAAAATGGTTGAATTGGGATGGCAACATTCTGATCAAGGGTGGCTTTCGGGAAAGGTTGGTGCAGCAGGCGGGGTATTTATTAAAATCAGGCCAAAGTCTCCACTCCGAAACAGACAAAAAACACGCCCCCTTTGAGGGCTGGGAAGCTCGCTGGGACCAGAAAGGTACCGAGATCAAGAACCCGTCGTGGCGTCTAGATTCCAGATTCACTTGTAGCCGAGAAGGAATCAGTTCGCTTCGAAGACCATTCCGGAAGGCGCTGCCCGTTCTGCGTGGTACTGAGGTCTAGTTCGGTCTCTGATTCCCAGGATCCTCGAGCCCTCTCACCCACGAAACCTCCAAGATCCCTCTTCCCTGAACCCCACATTGGTTCTTCCTGCAGAGCCAGCAGCTCCCCTGCGGCACTTCCTGGCTTGTCAGTCGCCTGTGCACAGCCAATCAGCATCCAGAGGATGAGCGACTCGTCGGAGGAGAGAAGGGGCGGCTACTTCCTGCGCGCCAAAGAACGCGCAGACTCACAAGGAGTTGGGGGGGCGGGGCGGCGGTGGCGAGCCTGCAGCTGTGAGCGAGCCAATCAGGGACCACCAGAGGGAGGCGGCTCGAGAGGCCGTTAGTCGCGCGCACGCTTCTCCAAGATGGCGGCCGTGAAGGATGGTTGTACATTAGGAGAAGCGGCCGCAGGGAACGGGCGGCGGCTCCACCTAGGGATTCCTGAGGCCGTGTTTGTGGTAAGAGGCACGCCGACCTTCGGCATGTTGGCGCTAGGGCGAGGGCTACCCCTTTCTTTCCTGGCTTTACCGCGGCCTCGACTATGGGGTAGGAGTTGAGCTAATGGGCCTGGGAGAGAGCACTTGCCAGCTCTCTCCTCTACGCCTAGACGAACTGAGCGGCTGGTATCCCCCACCCTGGGGAAACGCGGTCCGCGAAGAGAAGGGTGTGCCGGGCGTGAGGACCGCGGAGCGGGGCGGGGCGGTCTGAGGGGCCTCCCCTCAGGTGCCGGGTTTCACCTCGTGCTGCCTGTCAGGGAGAGGGGGAGGCAGTGAGAAGTCGGGAGAGAGACTCAGCCTAGATGCTGGAACGACGGACGGTTGTATGGTGACTTAGGGTACAGTGAGTAGGCAGAACACCTGGTGCTTAAGAAATTACACCTCGTCCGTTGAAGGAATGCAGTGGTCTTTTCTTTGCAGGAATGGAAGAGACTGATGGGAAGGTAGAGGGTAGAGCCCAGAGTGTGCCGGCTTTACCCAGTAGCTAACGGGATGTCATTAGAAGGTGTCTGAATAAAGGCACGATGTAATCGTATTTGGTTCTATGTACATCATTCTAGCAATTTAACAGAGAATGCATCGTGTGGAGTAGAGAGAGGAGGTAGGGAATGCAGTTTCACAGAAGAAGGGGAATACGTCCCAAATCCAATCAAAGAGAAGCAGCTACATCACTTCAACACTGTCCTTTCATTAAGACATTCTAGAAATAGTATTTCAAAAACTGAATAATGCGAGAAAACAAAGGGTGAGGTCTGAGTTCTAACCAGAACAGTATAGGGCCTCCTATATCGCAGAAAACACAACTGGTCTTCAGGTCAGTATCATCGGTCTTTCCTCACTCAGTTCTGACTTAAGTGTCAGCGGAATTTTCTTGACCTTTTGGTTTGTGCCTGTATTTCTTTATCTCCACCTTTTGTTCATTTTCGTTCAAAATACCCATTTCTTTTACTTTTCTTTAGGCCATTTTAAAAAAAGATTTTGTTTGTTTGACAGAGATCACAAGTAGGCAGAGGCAGGCAGAGGGAGAGAGGGAAGCAGGCTCCCCACGGAGCTGGGAGCCCGATGTGGGGCTCGATCCCAGGACCCTGAGATCATGACCTGAGCCGAAGGCAGAGGCTTTAACCCACTGAGCCACCCAGGCACCCCTATTTAGACCATTTTTATATACACTCTGTATTGCATATATTGCATATTTGCATTTGCTGATTCAATTTTGTAGTTTTTTTTTCTAATTTTGTGTTTTCTCTCTGAGCTGTGCCATTTATTTCTTTACATTCATTTCCTAATTAATGGTAATGAGACAGAATTTGCTGATTGCCAGGCACTTTCTTAATGCTTTTACAAAACTCTAGGAGGTAGGTATTATTATTCCCATTTTGTAGATGAAACTGAGTTACTCGAGTCGCTTGGCCCCAAGTCATATAACGTGTAAGCATTTTATCCAGGATTTGAACTTGGGCAATCTGTAGAGTACCAGAGCCCCTATTTACATGCTCTGCCAGTGGGAGGAAAGTGAGATAGTCATCTTGGCTCAAGGTCATTTCTCCTGGTCCTAGCAAAGCACCTGACACATAAGTATAAGCTCATAACTGGATGTTGAATTCAATTTTCATAGTGACTTAAATAGTACGTTCTTGGTCCTCAACTAGAGATGACTTCAAAAATCTCATTCAGGAGGATACACTTTATCTGAGGCTTTAAAAAGTCTTATCTTAAAATACCTTTCCTCCCTAAAATTGCTATGGGTTATTTTACTAGACCTTAAAATTTCTACCAGTAGAATATAATATATAGGCAATCCAAATTTTATGTAAGTATTTGAATAACATGGTGTTGTAGAAAGAACACGGGCTTCTAAGCAGCCGGGATTTGAACCCTGCCTCCACTTTGCAATTGCTGCTTCATCTTGAGCATATTATTTTTACCACCTTGAATCTCAGTTACTTTTGCTGAAACAGGAATAGCAATGTTTAGAGACTTGCTGTGAGAAGCAGTATGTGCTTTCAGTATAACAAGTGGATGCTTAATATGTATTCGTTTCTCTGATATAGGAGGCCCTATGCTGTACTGGTTAAGAGTCAGACCTCATCCTTTCCTCCATTCCCACTGGTGCCATACTTGGTTTTCTTTCTCTGCTTGAACTGTCCTTTCCCCCTTGCCCAGTTGCTGATGTCCTGTCTTAATCTCTCAACATCTAGTTCACATATGACCTCCCTGTAGTTTTTGTTTTTTCAAAAAAGAGTTTATATATTTATTTTAGAGATAAAGACAGAGAGCTCACAAGATGGGGTGAGAGCAGAGGGAGAGGGACAAGCAGACTCCCTGCTGAGCGCAGAGCCTAATGTAGGACTCAGTCCCACGACCTGAAATCATGATCTGAGCAAAAATCAAGAGTTGGACGCTTAGCCAGCTGAGCCACCCAAGCGTCTCTCCCTGTCATTTTTCTTGACCACTGCCCCAAGACAGAATTCTTGGCACTTTCATCTTTTCCCTCAGCACATTGTATTATAGACATAGCTAATGTTTGTTGAGCACTTAGTAGCTCTCATGTATTCTTTGAAGGATTTTACAGATGCTCACTCATTTAGTTCCCTCTGAGGGAAAGGTATTTTCATTTTACAGACAAGAAACTTGAGGCAAAGAGAGAGGTTGAGTAGCTTCTCCAAAGTGAACACATCTAGTATGTGGTGAAGCCAGGGTTCAAGCTAGGCAGGCCCTGTCTCGTAGCCACAATCCTGTGCTGCTATAGTTAATTCTGCTTGATAGACTCTAAGCTCCCAGCAATATCTACCAGCTGCTAGAAACTTCGACTTCTACCTCTTTCCTGCAGTGACCCTCCTAGGAAGATGGCGTCTCCATTATACATGCAGACTTCAGCCATTGTCCCCAGCCTCACCTTTCCAGTTTCTTTTACTATGTCTCTGGCTTGATGGCTTCATAGTTTGCATTCCCTTGCTGCTGTTTTTCTTTTCCTTCTTATCTTGTTTTGGCTAAAATACTCCCTTACAGCTAGTAAGTATGGATAAGAATAACAACACAGAGATCTCAGAAACCAGAAGGTAATTGAATTTAACTTAAAATGAAGAAATAAAGTTCTTTAAAGTGCTGGAAAGATCCCATAGGATTGCCTTTAAGTTTCCATATATTTTCATCTAGTTCCTGATCCTTATCTAATTAACTAGCTTTTCTTCAAGGACCAGTATGTAATATATATTTAAAATGCTGTTTGGTTTTACTACTTGTCTTTTGCTTAATTATTCCTTTTATGAAAGATTGTTCTGCTTGCCTTTTAGGTTTACTTTATTTCCACCCGTTGATACTTAAGGAGGTATTTGTGGCTTGCCTCGGGAACCTAGTGCCTGTATTTAGCATGATTTCTTTGGTAGAACTTGCATTAAAAATTTTAGTTGACGGGTGCCTGGGTGGCTCTGTGGGTCAGGCCTCTGCCTTCAGCTTGGGTCATGGTCTCGGGGTCCTGGAATTGAGCCCTACGTCAGGCTCTCGGCAGGGGGCCTGCGACCCCCCCCCCCCCCGCTCTCTACCTACTTATGATCTCTCTCTCTCTCTGTCAAATAAATCAATAAATAAATCTTTAAAAAATTTAGTTGATACTTTTGGCATACAATCTGTGGAGTCATTTTGTGACCAGGCTACATGACTAGGCAATGTGTTTGATTGTTGGTAATTTTCATATTTACTACTAGGGCCGCCCGGGGAGTGCATAAAGCAGGTAAGGTCATCTTACTTTCTGTAGGTATAAATAAAAATAAAAAGAGGAAGCTGGGGGAAGAATAAATTAGCTATATAATGTATGTGCACTGTCTGAAATGGTCTTGAGCTTTTTATAACTACATTTTGGTTAAAAACAATCCTTTGGAAAAAAGAAACAAGCTTTTGTTTTTGTATGTTTTGAAGTTGAAGTAGTCAAAAATCAGATTAGAGGTATGAATTCTAAAATATGGGGGCACCCGAGTGGCTCATTTGGTTAAATGACCAGCTCTTGGTTTTGGCTCAGATCACGATCTCAGGGTTTAAAGTCTTAAAAAAAAAAAAGTCTAAAATTTGTCATGTGTTATTTTTGATACTAAAGGAAGATGTAGATTCCTTCATGAAACAGCCTGGGAATGAGACTGCAGATACAGTGCTAAAGAAGCTGGACGAACAGTATCAGAAGTATAAGTTTATGGAACTCAACCTTGCTCAAAAGAAAAGGAGGTAAGTGTAAAAATTTACAAGTTGTTTTTTTGTTGTTAATGTTGTATGGCTTAAACGTTAAAAATCAAGACATAATTTACATATAATAAAATGTCCAGTTGTTGAATATTCAGTTTAATGAATTTTCACAGTTGTATTCACTTCTGTAACCACCACCCAGATCGGTATGTGGAATATTCCGTTACTGCAGGAAGTTCCCTGTCGCCCCTTTCTGGCCAACTCTGCCCAGTCCCAGAGACAACCACTATTCTGATTGTTTTCACCATAAATTTGTTTTGTGTGTTCTTGAACTTCATATAAATGAAAGCATGTAGTAACTACTATTTTATGTCAGGCTTCTTACACATAGCACAATGCTTTTGAGAGTCACCCATGGTTTTGTGTGTATCAGTAAATTAGTTTCTTTTCAGTGCTGAATCTTGCTCCATTGTATACGGATGTACCACAGTTTTTATCTGTTTGCCTGTCAGTGGACATTTAGTTGTTTCCCCATTTGATTGAAGTCTTTGTGTGGGTGTTTGTTTTCATTTCTCCTGGGTAATCACCTCGGAGTAGAACTGCTGACTCGTATGGTAAGTGTAATATTCAATGTTACAAGAGAACTGACGTAAGTCCTCCAGAGTGGCTGTACCATATTTCATTCCCGCCAGCAGCGTATGGAGTTCCAGTTGTTCCAGTGGCTCACATCCTCGCCAGCAATTGGTATTATTAGTCTAAAGATGGTTTTGAAAACATAATAGAATGAGTATTGAAGACCTTACTCCAAAGCATCTAGGGTTAAAACATCTTAGATCTCTAGTTCATCCTTCTTATTTTGCCATTGAGATGAGAGACCCATAGAGGTTATGGCTTTCCCTAGAGTTCACAGAAAATGGGCATAGGACAAATGCATCTTTGCTCTCAATTGTTTATTTCCCTATATTTTTATAGTAGATTATAAAGTCAGTTCACTGCAGTAAATACTTGGGGCTATCTGCTATGCACATGTGGCAGCATTCTTGTGTCAGTGAAATATTTATGGAATTCCGACTAGGTGCAGGTACTGTTTTGTGTGCTCTCAACAGGGACACAGTCCAGGGGCATGATAGGTATGTAAATAAGATAAGCAAATAAAGTATAGCAGTTGAAATACTTTAATACAAAGTAGTGAGTTAGCACAGGGAAATGTGTGATCTGGAGGGCAACAAGGAGACTCAGGAGAAGCTTCCAGGGGGAGCATATGGCCTTGTAGGAGTTTGAAGGCTGGTTGTAAGTTCAGAGGAAGACTAAAGCAAGGAAGGATCATCTGGGCAGAACATGCCATTCATATAAAAGTACAAAAGTTTGTATTCCGATACATTTTCTCATTTGATTTGGTGACAGGGGAATTTGAATAAGGGCTGGGTATTAGATGAAAAGTCATCGACATAAACAAATGGAGAGTGTTAACCGAAAAAAGCAGGATAGAAAACACTATGAAGAATATGCTCTCATTTTGGAAAAAAAAATGTATATGTACACAAATTTCTGGAAGAAGCTACACTAGTGGTATATTAACAGTGGTAATCTTTAGGTGGTGGGAATATGATACTTTAAAAAATCTCGTTATCTGTATTGCTAAATTTCTCCAGTAGTCACATACTGCTTTTGTAATACAAGTTTATTTTCATTTTAAAAAGAAGAATTAAGTCATTAGTTTTCAGATCACCCACAGGGAGGTTGTAGATAGAGAAGAAATGGGCCTCAGGACCAAGCCCTGGGAAAGAGGAGGAGATTTGTATATCAAAGTTATACTGCTAACTCTAGTACTATGGTATAGTACGGTACTCACTCCTGGAGTGGCCTGGATGTGAGGGATAAAAATTGCGCTGTGTACCTGTAGCCCTCCTAATCAGGTGCACTTGGGGTATATCAGTGAACAAAACAGGCAATCCCTGCCCTTGGAAAGGTTGCAGTCTAGTGGAGTCTGGATAGTAAACACACAATTCAATAGAATTAATATTTATTGTGCACCTAATATGTGCTCGGCATCATTTTAAGTACTTAGGATATATCAGTCCTCATGGAGCTGACATTCTAGCCAGAAAACAGAACTAGGTTATAGAGTAGGTTAGAAGGTGATAAATGATATGGAAATAAGAAATGAAATAAGAGGGTGTGGAGTATTGGAGGTGGCAGCTGCTGAGGGTTTTGAGGAAAGGAGGAGTGTGGTCTGATTTTTCCCTATTATCGTACGACTCCCTCGGGTTGCTAGCTTATCATACTCCTGAGAAGGACAGAAACAAGGAGGTCAGCTAATAGTCCTTTTCGTTAATCTAGGTAAGGTGATAGAGGTGGTGGTAAAGAAGCTTATTCTGAATTTACTTTGAAGTTGGAATGAGCATGGTCTGGTGGATTAGAGGTGAGATGTGGAGGGACACATGGAGGATGGCTCCCAGGTCGGAGCAACTTGGGGGAGTTACCGTCCTCTCAGATGGAGAAGACCAGATGAAGCAGGTTTGGATGAAGATCAGGAATTCGATTCTGGACACATTTGAGATACCTTTTTGGATATCCAAGTACAGATAGGTGTTAAAAACAGGCAATTAAATTTGGGAGTCTGAATTTTGGGAGCAATCTGGGCTGGAGATACAAATTTGGGAGTAATTTAAAGCTATGGGACTAAATGAGCTCCATCACCAAAAGAGTGCATGTAGGTGAAGGAAAGATCAAAGATCTGGGTACTTCAACAATCAGACATTAGGGAGAAGAGGGATAACCAGTAAAAACACTGAAAAGCTGCCTGTGGGGTCAGGAAAACCAGGAGAGTTTACTCTGGAAGCTAAGGCAAGAAAACGTGTTACAGAGAAGAGAATGATTAACTGTGTCAATTAGGGTAAGGACTGAAGACTGACTTGGACTTAGCAAAGTGGAAGTCATTAGTGTTGTGGATGGGAACGTTTTTAGTCCAGTGGTTTAAAAGGGAATGATATTGGAGATAGTAAATATGGAAAGCTTTCTGAAGAGCTTTACTCATTTCAGTAGTGTGTTGGTTGTCTTTTTTTATTTGTAGGAGTTCTTTGTGCATCAGCCCTTGAACAACATAGATTGTTCAAACACAGGTTTAAACACAGGTCCACTTACACCTGGATTTTTTTCAATATATATTTTGGAAACATTTTTGGAAGATTTTTTTTTAAAGATTTTATTTTATGTATTTGACAGACAGAGATCACAAGTAGGCAGAGAAGCAGGCAGAGAGAGATAGGAGGAAGCAGACTCTCTGCTGAGCAGAGAGCCCGATGCGGGGCTCGATCCCAGGACCTGGGATCATGACCTGAGCCGAAGGCAGAGGCTTTAACCCACTGAGCCACCCAGGCGCCCCTTTGGAAGATTATTTGACAGTTTGAAAAAACTTCAGATGAACTGCATAGCCTTGAGATACTGGAAAAAATAAGAAGATGTTAGGTATTATTGTAAGGATACAGTATATAATACATAAAACATATAAAATATATGTTTATCGACTGTTTATATTATCTGTAAGGCTTCCAGTTAGCACTAGGCTATTTGGGGGAGTCAAAAAAAATACATGGATTTACAACTGCACGGGGCATCAGTGCACCAGCCCCCACATTGTTAAAGGTCAGCTGTATATTGGATGCTAATCCTTCTAAGTTTCATGGATGAGAAATTGTTCTTCCTTTTGTAATTTATCTTTTTTTCTTTCTTTATGGTTTCTTTTGATGAGTAGTTCTTAATTTAAATGTTTTTTGGTTAAAATTTCCCTTAATAGCTTTTTGCATCTCATTTAAGAAATCCTACCCTATATTTCCCATTCAAAAACACAGACTTCTCTGTTTTCTTCTAAAAGTTTTAAAATTTTGCTTTTCACATTTAACTTCTTATTTTTAATTTATTTTTGTTGGTAGGGAGGGGTAGAGAGAGTGAGAGAATCTTATGCAGGCTCCACATTCAGAGTGGAGCCTGACATGGGACTCAGTCTCATGACCCTGAGATCATGACCTGAGCCAAAGTCTAGAGTCAGAGGCTTAACTGACTGAGCCACCCAGGCGTCCCTCACATTTAACTTCTTAATCCAGAAGTTTATTTTTATGTATGGTATGTGTGAGCTTTGAATTTTTTCTTTTTTTTTAGTGGATGTACTGTGATGCACTATTTGTCTCAACAGCATTTAAGTTTCATGTGGTCCAATTTAACAGTCTGTTTCCTCCTATTTAAGAAATACTTTCCTATCCCAAGTTCCTGAAGATACCCTCTTAGTATTTTATTCTCAAAGGTTTATTGCTTTATCTTTCACATTTAGATCTTTAATCCATGAGTTGTTCAGAACTGTGTTGCTAAATTTCGAAGCAATTGTGAAATTTTCAGTCATGTTTCTTTGTCTTCTCAATACTGTAAATCGGTCGTTCAATCTGCAGTCTTGGTCATATTCAGGGTCTTGGTGACAACACTGCTTCATAGGTTTGTGTATCATTTTTCCGTTAAGAGGTAGATAGTATCTAGTTGTCTGTTTTTATGGTGCTCTGTGCCTAGATCCATTAATTGGGCATTGCAAAATGATGCTCTGATTCAGTTATTTTTTTAATTTATAATTAAGTCTGTTATACTTCTATAGAGAGAAGCAATCCCTACTCATCCTTACACGTGAGAGTAGCTGCAGGAAATCAGTCCCCCTTTCAGTTTCTTCTCTTGCTGGAGTCAGCCCTGTAGTTCTGCCACCTTCAGCTGCTCTCTGCTGCCCCCCAGTAAAGGAGGTGTGGGAGTGCTGCTCTGCCATCTTAACCTGAAACAATCTTTATCCCTTTGGAAAAACTTTTTAGTCTATATTATTAGGCACATACAATTTGAGAATTATTGTGTGTTGGTGAACTTAACCCTATATAAGATAATGCTTAGTGTTTTAAAGTCTGTTTTGTTGGATACTTCCAGCAACCCCAGCTTTCTTTTGGTTAACATTTTCTTGATTCATCTTTTCCAATCCCTTTACTTTCTACCTGTTAATTATTTATGTTTAAGGGTGTTCCATGTAAATAACATAAGGTTATTGTTTTAAATCTAGCCTATCTTTTTAGATCAACTGATTTTTCTTTTTGGATACTTTCAAGATGATAATCTCTTTTGTTTCATTTCCTGTAATTTGTGTATGTGTGGATATTTTTCTTCTTTCTTAACCAACTATATGTCAGCTTCCTGTAACTATGGGTAACTGTGTGGTTTGCCTTTATCCATGGAGGATTTTGCTTTTGCCAGGAGTGGTGACTCTGTACCGGCCTGTTCCTGTTTTGGCTCTTAATATGTGAGCTTCCTGGGGTGCCTGAGTGGCTCAGCGGGTTAAAAGCCTCTGCCTTCGGCTCAGGTCATGATCCCAGGGTCCTGGGATTGAGCCCCACATTGGGCTCTCTGCTCAGCAGGGAGCCTGCTTCCTCCTCCCTCTCTGCCTGCTTCTCTGCCTCCTTGTGATCTCTGTCTGTCCAATAAATAAATAACATCTTTTAAAAAAAATATGTGAGCTTCCCCACTGAGCTGCGATGCGGGGACCCATGCTTGGGTCTGTAGCTGATAGCAGCTCCTAACTCATGATGCTTACTTTTCTCTAGTTTTCACTGCTCAACTCAAAGCCTTTTCCAGTTTTTTGTCCTTTAATTTTTTCTGGAACGTCCTTACCTCTGAGATGTCAGCTCTGTGGAGTTTGGGTACTAACCTTTTTCTTTTCCATATCCTGTTAAGTTTTTCCTTGCAACCTATCATTTGTCTTTAACTTTACCTTCAGCTGTGTAAAAGTTCTTTAGTATTTTGTAATTGTCTTGTAATCTCCTCAACACCTGGGTTGTATGTCTTTTATTGTTTTTTTTTTAAGATTTCTATTTACTTATTTGACAGACAGAGATCACAGGCAGGCAGAGAGGCAGGCAGAGAGAGAGAGAGGAGGAAGCAGGCTCCCCGCAGAGCAGAGAGCCCAATGTGGAGCTCGATCCCAGGACTCTGGGATCATGATCTGAGCCGAAGGCAGAGGCTTTAACCCACTGAGCCACCCAGGTACCCCAAAGATTTTATTTATTTATTTGACAGAGAGAGAGGGAACACAAGCAAGGGCAGTGAGAGAGGGAGAAGCAGGCTTCCCACGGAGCAGGGAACCTGACGTGAGGCTTGATCCCAGGACTCCGAGATCATGACCTGAGCCGAAGGCAGACACTTTAACCCACGGAGCCACGCAGGCACCCCTGTCTTTTATTGTTTTTTAACTGGGAATTTTGTGATTATCATTTTTTGCATTTTTTCTGATAATTTTTTTCTCTTGTCTCCATCTGTGATTCCTGTTACTGTAGATGTTAATGCTTCTAATTTGGCCTTCCATTTCTCTTTATTATTTCTTCTCTTCTGCTCCCTTCAGTAATTGTCTTTTGGATGTCCATGAGTTCTTTATTTCAACCATTACATTTTTTTTGTACCTAGTCATTTTGGTTAGCTCTTCTTACAGCTAGCTACTTGTTTCTTTATATTAGCAATATCCTTTCTTTTTTCTCTGAGGTATTTTTAAATACATACTGTATAATCTCATCTTTCAGTATTTCATTTTGTTTCATCTGATGGGTGTTGTTGAGTTTATTGTCTTTGTTTTATTGTAGTTGTGTTTTCAGATTATCATTTCTTGTCCTTATCATCTCATACTCCCTCAAGGATATCGGTTTTTTTGGTTAGTAATGTGGTGGGGTTGGGGGTAATTTAAGCCGCTTTTGGTGCGTATGGGTAGGAAGGATGCTGCTGGTGTTACAGTCTAGGGCATCGCCATTGGACAAATGTTCCTTCTACCCAACCAAGTGACTTGGCCTCTGAGGATTCTTTTTGCTCCTCTGCCCTTCACTGTCTTCACTCCTGGGAGTAGGAGTGGGGGTAGAGGGGGAGTAATGGGGACCAGTATTTGTCTTCTCAGCTCCTCAGCCTGACCTCTCTGCTTCTGGTCCATTCTATCATTTTTCCACCCTGTAGCAGTGAGGGAGAAGGTAAGGTGATTCACCCAGGGCAATTTAGAGGGAGGAAAAAACATCTACAAAGTTTTCCTTTAACTGTGCTCTCCTTTTGAAGATTTGATCTGCTTCCCTTCTAAGCTGCTATCTCCCTTCTTACTCTCCTACCCACTCCTAGAACCTAGAGATTTCCACTTCTCTTATGATAACGAAGACCTGGAAGTGACCCGAGTGTCCATTGGCAGGAGAGTAGATAAAGAAGTTGTGCTATATTCATAATGGAATATTACACAGCAGTGAAAATGAATGAACAAGTTTAGGAACCTATTTGAGTTAAGCAAACCTGAGTAAAATGCATTCAACACTTGATTGTTTGTATTAAGCCAGGAAACCAGCAAAGAATATATTGTTTGGGAATATGCATGGATGTGATGAAATTATTGGAAAAAGAAGAAAAGGGGCTGTAAGCACACAGGAGAGCTGCTGTCTCTTGGGGTAGAGCAGAGTGGGGAGAGGTATACCGCTTGGACATACTCAGCGACCTTGGTGACCTAAGTTGACGGGGGTTGCAGCTGCTTGATTTATTAATATGCTTCGTAATTTATGTGTTACATGTAATGTTATGTGTACAAAAGTTATCATAGAAATCATGGACATGACCAAAACCCTTTATTTGAACATTCTCCTTATGTTGTGTGCATATCATATATTTTACAAATAAATATATCTTTTTAGCATTTACCTATATCAACTTGTAATACAAAAGTAAGCAGATTTGGAAGATCTACAACATCCATATTGAACTTGTAAAGAGCTCACAGAGCATTAGCCTTCAAACTAACTAAAATGAACAGTAAATGTGTTTCTAGATTATTCACTGGACTTTATTTCCAGATAGTCGTAGTATTTTTTTAAGTAGCAGGCTCAGTAGCACAAGGAATGGTAAAGTCTGACTTCCTTTGTATGATACAATGAGTGTATTTTATTTGTTTTTTGTTTATCAAGTTTTTATTTAAATTCCAACATATATATTAACATATCCAGTATTATATTAACATATTAACATAATATATTAACCTAACATAATACAGTAACATATGCAGTGTTATTATATTCATTTTAGGTATGCAATATGGTGATTCAACACTTCTATAATAAGTACATTTTCATTATCACATTTAAATTTTGTTAACATACCAATTTCCAGTCATATTTAGTTAAACGTATTCTGAAAGAACCATAGTTTTGTTTTTGTGTCCTTAGTTTGTCTTATTACAAATTCCCTTGTGATTTGACAGTGCCCCCACAGCTAGTTTGCGTGTTTGTCTTTCTTTCCTTCCTTTCCTCTTTCTTTCTTTCTTTCTTTCTTTCTTTCTTTCTTTCTTTCTTTCTTTCTTTCTTTCAAGATTTTATTTGATGGAGAGTGAGAGAAAGCACAGCAGGACGAGTAGGAGAGGGGGAAGCAGGCTCCCCGCTGAGCAGGGAGCCAGATGTCGGGCTCCATCCCAGGACCCTGAGATCATGACCTGAGCCAAAGGCAGAGGCTCAACTGACTGAGCCACCCAGGCGCCCCTAGTTTGCACGTTTTTCCATGCACAACACACTATAGCCTTGGGCAACTTTTAGTCACCATCCTAAAGAGCTAAACCTCAGTGTTAACAAAATAAAAAATATTTCATCCTTTCTTCTAAGTAACTTTCAGTGTTTTCAGTGTGTTTTTGTCTCTCATTTTCTTGTCAGTGAGGTTGATATCCCTTTGGAATCAGTTGTTAGTAGCTTTTTAAGAATAATTTGTTATAGTTGTTAGTTGTTAGAACACTTTTATGTTGATAGCACAGTTAAGCAGAAGGTACAGAGATTTCCCATACATTCCTCTCCTCTCCGCACATGCAGAGCCTCCCCCATTATCAGCAGTCTCCACCAGAGTAGGACATTGGTTACAGTTGATGAGTCACGGGGTGCCTGGCTGGCTCTGTCACTGGAGCATGTGACTCTTTTTCTCAAGGTCGTGAGTTCGACCCCCACATTGGGTGTAGAGCCTGCTTAAAAGATAAATAAATGATGAGTCAATATCAATATATTACTATTACCTGAGGTCCTTAGCTTACCTGAGGGTTCACTATGCTGTTGTGTATTCCGTGGGTTTTGACAAATGGATGATTTTATTAGTTCTCATAAAGAAAATCGGTAGAAATTGCAAAGCTAGTAAGACTGTGTCCTGGTGTTTTTCTTGCCTGCAAAATACTAAGTTAACCTTTTTCTTATCCACAGGCTGAAAGGTCAGATTCCTGAAATTAAGCAGACTTTAGAAATTCTAAAATACATGCAGAAGAAAAAAGTAAGTACATTTTTGTTTCTAAATATGAGTGAACTGGCGTACTTCAGCAGAGACTCGTCTCCCTTGACTCTGGTCCCTGGTATCTGAGCGTGTTAGAGTACCCGGTCTGCCTTCCCGACTCTCCTGTACCCGTACTGATGTCACAGTGTGCCTCTGTGATAAATGTAGCTTTGTGGCTTTTTTCCCAAGTCCGCTTTAATTTTAGGGCCTACACTTCTTGGATTATTTTACTTACATGAAGTGTTTGTAAAACTTAAATGCAGTTGAAAATTATTTAGGTACAAAAAGAAAATGTCTTATTTTGAGGTAGCAGCATCCAAGGGTTTTTATTGTTGTTACTGTTCTTAAGAATAAGGACTGAGTCTAAAACTTACAGATCTGCGAAGAGTCCTAGAAATTGTGTTTTGGGTTCTCATTTCACAGTGGCACATAGCTAGTTACTGGCAGAAGTGGATTGGAGAACCTTCTGAGTCTTAATCCAATATTCATTAAATAAAAGCAGGCTGTAAACATTAAATTTTATAAGCATATTGTATTTAAAAGATTAAGTGGGAGCGCTGGGGTGGCTCAGTCAGTTAAGCTTCTGCCTTTGGCTCAGGTCATGATCCCCTGGGTTGTGAGATCGAGCCCCGCATCGGGCTCCCTGCTTAGCACGGGGAGTCTGCTTCTCCCTCTCCCTCTCCCCAAAACTGCCAGCTTGTGCATGCTCTCTTTCTTTCTCTCAGATAAATAAATAAAATCTTTAAAAAATGTGTATATAATTTATTACTTGGCTACTAGAATAACTATTTCCAGTACATTATTTTATGTGGTGAAATTTTGAGAGACTTCAGGAAACTGGTCGGTTGAGCGTGAAGCACTAATGAAGTAATAATTGCTAGCTTTTTTTTTTTTTGAGAGTGGGAGAGGGAGAGAGAGTGTGAGCAAGGGAGGGGAAGAAAGGGGAAGGGCGGAGAGAGAGAGAATCTCAACCAGACTCCACTCTGAGCGCAGAGCTGATGTGGGCTTAGTCTCACAACCCTGAGATCATGACCTGAGCTGAAATTAAGACTCGGATGCTTGACTGACTGAGCGCCCCAGGCGCCCCAGTAATTGCTAACTCTTGCATAGCACTTACTCTGTGCCAGGCACTGTTTTGTGTGTACGTGTGTGTATGTTTGTGTAAAGTCTGTTTTCCACAGCCTTCAGAAGTGTCAGGACTATTGTTATCCTAATTTTATAAATCGGGAACCTGAGACCCAGAGAAGTCAAGTGAAATGGCAAGTTTGCACAAGTAGTAAGTAGCTGAGCCAGAATCCGTGTCCCCCCATGCCCAGCCTTCTGGCGCCGGCATTCATTTCTTTTCCCACTGCACTAATTGGCACGATGGCACTTTTACGTGACTTAGGTTCGGCTCTGTGATCTCTCCTTTATAACCCTGTTGTTAAACTGACCTATTTACAGTACTGTCATTTGTTTGAAGGAGTCCACCAGTTCACTGGAGACCAGATTCTTACTGGCAGACAACCTGTATTGTAAAGCTTCCGTTCCTCCTACTGATAAAGTGTGTCTTTGGTTGGGGGTAAGTAGCTGAAATGGCCGCAGCTTCCATGGCTGCCACTTGTGACCCAGTGTGGTTTGCCCAGCTCCACACTGCTGCTTAAGCTGCGTAAAGCACTCATCTGCCTTTGACTGTGGAAGGGACACGGGGTGGGAGCTCAGGGGCTCTGTATTGGAAATCGACTGGAATTACGAGTGTGATGAGCTGCAAAAGGTCCCTGTCTCTCCCGGTCAAGACAAAACTAACTGAAGTCCTCTCTCTTCCCCTTTAGCTGATGCTTCATCTCATAAATGTAACAGAAGGAAGAGGAATAGAAATAAAATAGGGGGCGCCTGGGTGGCTCAGTTGTTAAGCATCTGCCTTCGGCTCAGGTCATGATCGCGGGTCCTGGGATTGAGCCCCACATTGGGCTTCCTGCTTAGTGGGGAGCCTGCTTCTCCCTCTCCCTCTGCCCTGCCCCAATCATGCTCTCTCTCTCTGACAAATAAATTAAAAAAAATTCTTTAAAAAAAAAGAAATAAAATAGAAAGGATGGCTAAACCTCAGATAAATGTTTCTTGCCAGTAGGGTTTATTAGTTCTGGAAACATCTCTCAAAACTTAAGGGGGAAAAGATTATCACAAAAACCTCAAGATTAGAGTCCATTTTTAAAACCGTGTATTTCAATTTTAGATGATGTCATAGACCTTGTCTGTGATCTTTTTCCTATCTTACTCTTCTCAATCCCCTTACCAATCATCCAACCCATTCCTGACTGTCCAGCTAGCTGTCCATTGGTCTTGTTACCCCAGACAAGTTCCCATACAAAGTAGCAAGCTAAGTGTATAGCTCCCATCGTCTCTCCTCACTGGAAGGATTTCCTCCTTGCTGTTATCTTGTAGAATCACTCGTGAGAGGCACTTTAATGCTATGAAGGGTGGGCACATTAATAACCCAAAACTCACTCTGTTCCTTAGTTCCTCCTGATTTTTGTTCTTTGTAATATTTTCAGGGTTTGTGCATTTCGTTCTGTAATCCTAACTCCCATACTTATGTAGCTTTAGTTCTGTAGATGGAACAGCTATCCACCTAGTGGCTCACATTCCATCAGCAGGTGGGGATAAGATGATTCCATAAACCAGACTGGGACGACAGGGAGGTCTCTGATGAGAATTACATCTGGAATCCACTTCATACCTCATAAGACATGAATTCTAAACGTATTATATACTTGCCTGAAATACACCATCAAAGTTTTAGGCCAAGTAGTAGATAATTTGTTTTACAACTCTGGAATAAGGATGGTTTGTTTTGGCCACAAAACTCAGAAACTATAAGCAAAGTTGGAAGACAAACAACAGGGAAAATATTCGTAACTCTTACTGCAGGCAGAGGACTAACAGCCCTTTGCAGGGTTACCTGGAGTTGTGTTTTGGGCGTGTCAGTCTTGATATGCCTGTTAGACCATCGGAGAGAGGCCAGTAAGACTGAGGAATGAGTCAACCGGAGAAATACTTGGCACAGGGTACTTCCTGAGTGAACCATCGATGTTTTTCTGACATGAGTGAAGTCTTTGGAAATGTAGTTGAATTTTTGTTTTAAAGGAACCAAAGTAGAGAAATTTTCTGAAAAAAAAAAAAGTAATAAGAAACAATGGAGGGACGCCTGGGTGGCTCAGAGGGTGAAGCGTCTGCTTTTGGTTCAGGTCATGATCCTGGGGTCCTGGAATTGAGCTCCTGGCTCAGTAGCAAGCCTGCTTCTCCCTCTCCCACTCCCCCTGCTTGTATGCTGACTCATGCGCTCTCGCTCTCTGACCAAAAAAAAAAAAAAACCCAACAAAAAACAAAACCCACAGTGGCAGTTGACTCAGGAATGAGATTGGGGTCTGGTATTGAAGAGATACGTACTTTCCATTGAGTATTTTTCTGTCTTGCCTCAATTTTTTTACAGTTTTCTAACTATCATGGATTGGATTATTCAGTCAGTATTTATGTAGCACCTGCTTTGTACCAGTTCATGTTGTCTGTCTTGCTGAATCCTTACAGTGATCCTTGAGTGATTTTTAAATGCCATTTGTCAGATGAGGGAAGTGGTTCAGGAAATGCGCAGTGGTAAGGCAGGTGATAGGAGGAGTTCAGAGCTGGGAAAGGTTTGGTTCCTGGCTTCTAGAATGCATGCATCTCTAAGTGTTGGTAGTAACACCAAATCTTCAGAATTCAACAGTCACCTTGCCTTTGCCCCTAGCATCTGAAGGTAGGAAGAGGACAGTCAAAGCTAGGTCATATGTATGTATTTGAAAACTCTTTAATTACTGTATCTTAAGCTTAGAATTAACTATTTAAATTGATTCAAATACATTACTATTTAGTGTCATCATGGAGGTTGTAGAAAGATGGGATTTGGTATCTAAACATTGGTTCTTCTCTTAATTCTCCTGTTTACTTAAGATCTTTGTTAGTGTAGGTGACCTGGCCTCTTTGAGCCCACATTTTCTTACCTGCAAAGAAGAAGATAACTTGACTGACCAGGGTTCTTATGGGGAGTAAATGATACAATGTATGTAAATGTATTCTTTAACCCAGGGATCAGTAAAGTTTGTGTAAAAGGTCAGAGAGTAAATATTTTGGTTTTGCAGAGCACACGGTCTCTGTCACAACTACTCAGCTCTGCCACTGTGGTGTGAAAGCATGGGGAAATGGAGAATATCTGGGTTCCAATAAAACAGGAAAAGGCAGCTGGCTAGATTTGACCCAAGGGCTCTAGTTTGCCATCTCTTGTTCTAACCTGTGAAGCACTCTATAAATGTTGAGTACTTGTCCTGACTTTTTTTCTTCAGGCTAATGTAATGCTTGAATATGATATTGATGAAGCCCAGGCATTATTGGAAAAGAATTTATCAACTGCCACGAAGAATCTGGATTCTCTTGAGGAAGACCTTGACTTTCTTCGAGATCAGTTTACTACCACAGAAGTCAGTATCCTTTCTTTAACTAAAATCAAAGGGAGGAAAGGAGAAATATCAGATGTTTTTGATACTATTATTTGCATTATTTTAATGAGAACAATATCCTTATTCTTAGGCTGATTTGAACTTGCAGATTTTGTGAGAGTAATAAATAACACTTTTGGAACTAATACTCAACTAGGTTTGTAGCTAGATTAATCTGAATTTGAAGTGTGAAGGTCTGGAAACAGCACATTCAAATCAGTGCATAAGCATTTTTCTTTCAGATATTTTCTCAAGACACCTTCAAAGCTAGTTAAATAGTTTAATCCACAAATATTTATTAAGGGTCTCCTGTGGTGCTGCAGCTGTTGGGGGCACAGGATGGTAAGGGTACAAAAAGAGTGCCAGAGTTTTGCCGTGTTAGAGCTGCACATGTAAAACAGCTAAATGATAATTTCATAGCAAAATGCAAGTGAGTTTGTTTCAGGTATGCAGTGCCAAGGCAATTTAAAGTTAGAGGAAGAGAGAGATGAGCTGGAACTAGTTCAAAGAAGGCTTTCAGAAGTTAGAACTTGGGCTGTTTTTAAAGGTAGTATAGGATTTGGATCAGCAGAGTGAAGAGGTGAGGGTAGGTGTTCCAGTCAAGGGCAGGCAGGCAGTCAAAACCCAGCTCTTTGCCTTTCCTCTCTGACCTCTCTCTCCTGGTGCCTGTTGCAGTCGTGGGCCCCACACAGTCGCCTGCGGCACTCTGTGAGGTGTTCCCAAGCCAGTCTTACTTCATGCCACTGACCTCTTCTTGCCGTAGCCTTTGCCCAGTGTATCCTGGGTTCCAAAGAGCCCCAGTCAGGTCTCCTCACCCCTTTATATTTATGCTTTGTTCTTCCTACCTGGAATGATTTCCCCCTATTTTTGTGGGTTACTCCTTTTTTTCCTTCATATTTTAGCTCAAGCATCAGATCATTTCTCAACATTTTCAAATCCTTGGGGTGTTTTGTTGTTTCCCTGTGCTTACTGCACACTTCGCACATAGTACTTCGTGTTCTGTGCCAGACTGGGAGTACTTCAAGTGCGTGCAGCAGGCGTTGAGTGCTTGGGTGAGGGATGACAGGCCTGTTGGAGGCCTAGAGCAGGGGCTGGCATGGGACTCGTAATGTGGGAGACTTCATCCAGAGTGGGGAACAAAGCTATTAAACTTCTGGAAGAAGGAAAAAAAACCTTCTAGGAGATAACATTGGAGAAAATCTAGATGTCCTGAGTATGGTGAAGAATTATGGACCCAACACCAAAGGCACAGTCCATGAAAGAAATAGTTGATGTGTGAGGGCCTGCATATGATGGTGCTTGTGGAAAGGGAAAGAAATTGAGTGAATGTCCTATTAAACCAAAGGGAGGGTAAGAGATGAAATTATTGATAATTGTACTGATTTAAATATTGCCTGAAAGGATATGGTTTGAACAGTCTTTGAATTTCATGGATGAGGGGCTGTCTTTCAAACTCTTGATGGTGTCAGGCACATATTTTGTCAAGTATAACATTATAGTTGACTACATGTGCTAAACAATTACTGATTTGAGACCTTGACTTTGTATTGGTGGAATTTCTTAAATGCTATTATAGCAAGATGGCTCACAACACTTGTTACCGGTATTTTGCGTGCATGGTTTCTCTCTGATTCACTCTGTGAGTGAGTATTTAACTTAGTCATTGCATGTGCTGTCTTTAGTTTTGCATTTGCATTTTCTTTGACAATTCTTGCAGATATGGCCAGGGTTTATAACTGGGATGTAAAAAGAAGAAACAAAGATGATTCTACCAAGAACAAAGCATAATGCTGGCAATTAAAAATGTGGTTCAGTTTTCCAAACATGTTTATTTTAAGTACCCCAAAGCTTATCCCTAAAGGTTGACATGACTTTGACTGATTTTTTTTAACAGCAAGAATGATAATTAAAACTTTAAAAAGATAAACATCGTTTTATTATAAAAACAAAATTGGTTTCAAATATTTTGTGAAATTAACAATATTTTAATTTTTTTTATTTCCAACAAAGTAAATGTTACCTTCATCGTTTTTTTTTTTTTTTTTTGGTTTGTCGTTAAAAAAAAAATCTTAGCTGAAATGGCTGAGGGGTGCTATGGAAGCTGAATTCTGGACACTTTTCTTTATTGGCTGATGTTAAACTCTCACTTGATGTGGTTAAACCAGTGTAGAGGTAGGAAAAACAGTTTAAGTATTTCCAAACTTGTTTTCTTTAGTACATATGGGGCTTTATGGCTCTCTGTTGCTGTTATTTGTCTTACAAAAATAGATTTTCATGAATTACTGCTTAGCCAATAACTATTGTAATATTCTGTACTTTTCAAGAAATGGTAGTTTGCCTTCCTAAACAGTAAGAGGGCTACTGAGACAATGCTTTTTCTTACCCTGTAGAAGTGCTCAGTTTCTTTGCAATGACGCGTAAGGGAGATCTTGACCAATGTGAAATAACATTCTTTAGCCACTCAAAACTCTTGGCTAGGCAATTTTGTATTTCTGAACTGTTCTCCAAAGCAGCTGAACAAGAATATTAAGATATACGTAAATCTGCAGTGGTTGAAAAGATTTGTGACCTTTTTTTACTCATGATAAAATGTCATAGGAAAAGTAGAAAAATCCCTGTGGAAAGCCATTGGTCCAGTGGCTAGCACTGGGTGATACAGATTCTGATAAAAACACAAATGTATTATTCCTTCTCCATCTAGTACAACATATACTCGTACAATGTTTTGTACTTGTATTTCATGATATTAAAACATTGATGTTAAAACTGTGGCATGGCACCTTCTTTTTTAACATTATTCTTTCTAAAGTTAACTTGTGTCTTTTCACATATTTGTAAAGTTCATTTACTCTACATATAACCAGTATGTCCCAAGAACTTAATGTTTGTAGGAACAACACAGAATCTCTTTGGAAGGAGCACAGATCAGCAAATAATTGAGGAGTTAAATCTTAAAGACACCAAAGTTCCTTGAGTCGCTTTTTCCTTCATAATTTTAAATCCCCATATTTTAGTATTTTAGGTTTTTAGTATTTTAGTATACATCTTGATATCGTAAGTGCTAATTTTCCCAAACCTCATTACGGTAAGTATATTGGCACAAAATATCCTTGTCAGTATTAGGACATGAATGATTTACTCACTTTAAGTACATGAAAATTGAACTGCTTTGAAGAAACACAGCTCTTTAGAGATATGAATGAAAGAGCAAAAATTAAGTTAATTCTATAAATGCATATAAATAGCACGTATTGGGAATGGTATTAGGCTTTGTTAATAAAAGAAAGCCATTTAAATCTTGCCTCTTCCAGATCATTTCCTTCATAAGGGTTTATAGTTTTAGAATAACATAACCATACTACTTTGACATGATATTTTCAACCTTAATATTAGTATAGTGTACTCAGAGAGGATATGGGTAAAAACTAAATATGAAACTTGACACTGAATAATAATGTTGGAAATGAAACTAATATTTATTTTTCCATTCAGATGCTCATTTGAGAGAATATAGAAAATGGGAAAAAAGACATAAGTTCCACTTGTAGTCCTCTTAACATTTCTGTGTCTTCCCTTTCTTTTTAATGCATAGGTTTTTTAAGATATAATTTAAAACATTTTGTCTTTATAATTTTTATCTTTTTTCACTTAATATGTAATTTGCATATTCTATAGTGTTACTGTATTAACATCATTTACAAGTTTCATAGTAGTAGTCTAATGGGTGAATTGTAGTAACCTGTGATACACATTGAGACATTTGGGTTGTTTTAAAACTTTTTCTCCATTATAAGTAACAAATAATTCCATAATTTACATTTTTACATGAGTCTTTCTTGTGTATTTAGGATTTTTCCTGAGACTTACCAAAAGTGGAATTAAGGAGCAAGATTTTTAGCATTTTTATTTCTGGGGTTAGCTGAGAATAGTTTTGTCTGTAGTGCCATCAGGGGATGATGGCAAGCACAGTTCATCACCCCACCCCCGCCCCCCACCTCTGCCTTTCTCTACCACATAGATATTGATGGGTGCAGTAGGAAGGACCTTATCCAAGGCCACATAGCCAGACTGAGACCCAGACCCAGTTCCTGGGTGAATTTCCTTCCCTCTGTACCATGATTCCTCACTCCTTTATTTAGCAATAACTAATAGCTCAGTTTGGTAGACGTTCAATCCCTTAATGAATAATGCTCTCTTTGCTTTGCTCTAACCTCAGTGATAACCTGTAAGGTCTTAAGCCATTTCTTTTTTTTTTAAGATTTTATTTATTTATTTGACAGACAGAGATCACAAGTAGGCAGAGAGGCAGGCAGGGATTGGGGAAGCAGGCTCCCCGCTGAGCAGAGATGTGGGGCTCCATCCCAGGACCCTGAGATCATGACCTGAGCCGAAGGCAGAGGCTTAACCCACTGAGCTACCCAGGCGCCCTTCTTGAACCATTTCTTAAAGGTTTGTCTTGATTGGTTCTAATCCTGTACCCTTTTGAGAGCCTTACCTGTGTCTATTCAATACCAATACAGGATTGTGTTTTCTCTGAAGACGTTGGCTGAGTGTGTGTGCAATGCCTGGTGTAGCTGGCGTCGGGTTCAACTATACGTTTAAACTCCTAAGCCCTGGGTGGGCTATGTCTGACACCAGTTTACTCTGAAGGACACGGGATAGTAAGACAGCATGCCAGGGGTTGGATTTAGGCATGATTCTTCTGTGGGAATTCTTGCAACATTCCCCACAGACCACACAGATATGTGCAGGAGCCACCCTGACCTAGGAGCCATAAGGGACCAACCACTCCCTCTTAGAACGGTCCCCTGTGCGTAGCATCCCCATCTTGGCCAGGGACAGGGCCCAGCAACAGGACGTACATTGTACTCAGGGAATTTTTATGTTCACTCGCAGCCCTCTCGGATCTCACTTCAGACACAAGGTACAACCCAGGACGGTTTCCCAGAAGCAGGCTCATCTGGTCACACAGCTGATGGTCCACTTTCATCAGGTTTCCAGGGGAGCCAAGCTAGAAAGCTAATCCAAGGCCAGTTCCCCAAACTCGAAGGAGAAGGGGGTTTTGAATACCTCTTGCTCAATCAGCCCCTTGGGTCTTTCATAGTTATGTTTCCAGTTCTTGACAGTGACTTACTTCATTTTATAAGGCCTCTGGCTAATCACTGCCTCTGTGGAAAAGGTAGTAATAGTTCAGATATTTTAAAGGGCAGGATGGAGGCATTTCTGTCTGGATTAAGTGAGATTAAGACCATCACGTAGCCTCCAAAGTTTTACAATTATGTGATGGATTGGAGACCCTTTTTTTTTTAATTTATTTTATTTTTTATTTTTAAAAAAATTTTATTTATTTATTTGACACAGAGAGAGAGAGATCACAAGTAGGCAGAGAGGGAGGCAGAGAGAGGAGGAAGCAGGCTCCCTGCCAAGCAGAGAGCCTGATGCAGGGCTCGATCCCAGGACCCTGAGCTCGATCCCAGGACCCTGAGACCATGACCTGAACTGAAGGCAGAGGCTTAACCCACTGAGCCATCCAGGCGCCCCGGGAGAGCTTTTTTTCTCCTTGACCCCAAACCAAGTGATGCCATAAATACAGCAAAACTATTTATAAACTAATTACAGAGTACCTTTTTCAGTCTTGTGGCCAAAACTAGTTGATAAAATTTTTCTTTTTTACACTTTTTTTTGGGAGTTTTATAACTACAGTCAGCATCATAGAATTGATGGGCCTGCTTACTAACTGTATTTTCTGTATATTGATACTCTTTTAGATCCAGGGAGAGTACTGCTTACATGACCACTTGTGAGAGGGAAGTTTGAAACTTGAAGTGTTTGAACTTGGTTAATGTGCACAGAACTGCTCTTCTTGTCGAGTTAGTAGTGGCAGGTGGCCCAGGATTCTGTGTGCACATGAACCCTTAGGTATGGGCTGTGCCTCACAGTTTAGCCGAAGAATTTATTTGTTTTTTATTTTTATTTTTTAAAATATTTTATTTATTTATTTGACAGAGATCACAAGTAGGCAGAGAGGCAGGCAGAGAGAGGAGGAAGCAGGCTCCCCACTGAGCAGAGACCCCCGACGCGGGGCTTGATCCCAGGACCCTGAGATCATGATCTGAGCCGAAGGCAGAGGCTTTAACCCACTGAGCCACCCAGGCGCCCCCGAAGAATTTATTTTTGTTTGTTCCTTCTCTCTTGTCTGATGTCAGGTTTAGTTACAGCCACATCAAACGGAAAAGATGGACCTGGTGTGCACGGTATATCTGAACAGTTTGTTTACAAAGGATCATGCCTCTTGGTCATGATTTTCAAATAATTTTATGTTGAGTCGGTTGTGTGACAACCATTTGCCTTTTGGGGATACTTCATTTGGAGGTAGGCGCGACCAGATAGATTTCTCCTAGATCTTTCAGCTGCTTGAGTAAACCCATCTTAGTATGAATCAGCTTACTTTCCCCAGATCAAACCTGTGCATTCTGGAGAGTAAAAAATACAAAAAAAGGAAAAGGTCAGCAGATAACAGTCTCTTCCTTTTCATCAGTACATCCTGGACAACAACCAAAAAATACATCCTTGGTTACTTCAGGCCATGTCTGGCCTGGACTGGGCAGTCAGTCCAGAAGGGGCTTAAGAATTCAGTTGTAATTCACCCTCACCCTCAATTTAATGTTCCACTCTTCTATAGCTGTTAGTTGCAGTGCCAGAGCACAGTGACAGTTCTAGCTGTCCCACTGAAACACTGGCATCAGTGTTTGGTTAGAAAGTGGATTCATGATAGGGAAACAAGCCTGGGTGGGTGC